GAAACTGGTAAGGGGATGGTTTTCCTATGGTAAGTTCCTATGATGTCCGTTTCCATTGGAAGAAATCCTCGTCATCAAACCGGGCTCCCAGACTCCTCAAGGTCGATGCAAAGGGACCAGAGCTTGGTGGAACGATACAAGCGATTCTGCACGGTGTCCTGGCGACGCCAACCAGCGACGCGAGCTCTTTTTCTGGTAAACCATAGGAAAACCATAGGAAAACCATAGGAAAATGGTGGTTTAATGGGATTTAATGGGATATAACCTCTGCTAAACTGCTACATAACTATGGAAAATCACCATTTTTAATGGGTAAATCAACTATTTCTATGGGCCATTTTCAATAGCTATATGTTAGTTTACCAGAGGGTACTTTTTTCCAATGTGCGAAAAGGTACGTAGGGAATGGGGAAATGGATGGAAATGGGATGATGATTCGATGATTGATGGTGTTTATTAGATTTTATTAGGATCATTCCACCATACCCTACGTTTAGCACCAAACAGTTTTTTAGCAGGTGAAAAATCTTGGCCATCTTGGCCTTGCTCCTAGTTATCTGCATGAACCAAGAGAAAAAAACTAGCAATAGGAAACCGTTTATGGATGCGAGTAGGCAGGGAAATCTTGGGTTTGACTGAAAATGATTTAGCTCACTATTTGGATGTGCTTAAGGGGCCTATAAACAGTTAAAGACAGTCACAATAGATTTCCCAAAAGGGCGATTGACTACTGAACTGAGAACATCTCAGTTCATCTTCAGCAAATCAAATCCCAAGGGATAGAAGCTTATAATTCTATCTTTGGGGGACAACTTTATGTTCGTATTGCCATCCCGCCAACTACCATAGATTCTGCCAAAGCTAATAGGGGTTGCAAGATTCCTTTCCCTAGAAAGAAATTGTTTTCAGGGTCAAGGGTCTATGTGAACATTTACTGGAGGGTATATAAATAGTGATTCCATTCATATTCCCATATTCCCATTGAATATTTCCCTTAATATTCCAATTACTGGAGGGTATATTCGACCAGTCAACTCCACCCCGCGCTCCAGCGCCTTATCTTCCTTCAGGGCTGCGGCCTTCTTCTGGCCGGTCGCTAGTCTGGCCACCTGCATCTGCAGCTATGAACTTCATAGCTATAACTGGCTATTGCCATGGTGTTAACCTCCAGTGAGAACCATAGCCAAAATGTTCCCTATGGTGAAATATATCAACTATTATCAACTTGTAAGCGCACCACCAAGTAGCCGGCTACCAAGATTGTCCTTAAAAAAAGAGAGAGAGAGGCGAGTAGTAAACCAGTTCTGCCGTCCGTTTCTAAGTCCTGAGACCGCACTGTGATTCATGGTGACGCCACAGTGATCCACCGAGCTACCCCAGAAAATGTGCGACTTTCAAGGCTCCTACTCATCTTCCAAGTTCAACTTTGTTGGATACACATAATCATCTATAATCATCCATCCTCAAAGAAACATATAGATATGTTCATACCATTCACTTATGTATATATATACATAAACATAATATATATATATAAATACAATATATATATATATATATATACAATATTAATATATATATATATATTATAATTACTCTTGATATGTATATAATATATCTATTCAACATATGTATAATATTATATATATAACCATTGTTCATCATGACGTCCTTCACCATTTAACCCGCCAGGACCGAAGCCCCGTTGCCCGGCACTTCGGCTCAGCCTTCAAGGCTTCGTCGTACTCCTTGTGGCGTAGCTCCATCTCGATCCACTCACACCAGACCTGCCGACACGAGCCCCGTGAGTGCCAGGTCATCCGGGAGATTCCCAGCAAATTCCCAATGGATTATGATCATCCACATTAAAATACAAGGATCATATTTTAAAAGGTAGTATAACATAGTATAACCATGTATAACCCCTCAGAAGATCATTAATATTCATTAATTATCATCAGGGGTTTTGAACTTTTGAACAGGCAGTGGTGCCACCGGGGAAAATCCCAAGTGTATCCATTTCTTATCATTTCTTAGTGGTTCTAAACATGCTTCAACCTCTGCAAAAACAGGTGGCCATTTTTTGGATGCTAAACAAACTGCTTGAAACCACCAGAGTCTTGGTCGTTTTGGTGTGGAGTTTCAGCCCAGCCCAGACTTATCTCCAACCAGATGGAGCTAACTGCCGCCACTTGGCCCTAAGCCGTCCAGGAACACAGAGGTTCGGATAGTTCGGACACTGACACGAGAGGGTCTTTAGATTACCCAAATCATCAGTTTGTACCTAAGAGAATTCAGAAAACCATTGGTGATTTTGCCAATCTCAAAGTTCATTGCCCGTCTCCTGAAATCAGATTGTTTTGTTGGCATTGCCCCAGATCTGCTCCGCCCTGATTAGGGCAAACTAATTCTCAGTTTTCCGTACTTCCTATGTTTTTGATATGGGGATATCAAAAAGACAGGACAACAGACAACATAAATGCAGTCTTCCATGACTTCAATGCTAAGTTGTCTATGCTCCATTTGTGTATTCATCCCCCCAAAAAAACGCTGAAAAGCATGCTGTACGAGTTGGTCCAGGCGAATTTGGCGCATCAAAATCTAGGTCGATACTTACCAACTGAAATTCGGCCTACCCCGTTTCTAGGCTTAACATGCTTAACCCAATTGAAATTTGGGTATACCGTATACCCCACCACTTGGCCGCCCCCACCGACGCCAAGTCGTCCACACCGCGATAGTTCACTTGGATGGCCTAGGGCTGGGGCGCATGTGTAACCGCCCAAGAATTGGGGGAACCAGCGAAACAAACGTTGGATTGCAGCAGCCGAACAAAAGTTGGATGTCTATTCAGCAAATAATAGTGATTGAACATGATTGAAACAGCAAATCATTGATTTCTAGAGGCCAAGAATATGGGTGTATCTGAACATGTCAATATTTAACTGGAAACACGATGCTCAAGCACTGCAGTGCTGCACTGGATTTGGGGGTACTCTATTTCCAGACAGACTCTAATTTCGCCTCTGAAGCACCCACAGATAGGGATTGAACGAAAAAAACAACAGTGCACTTTCATAGGGCTTGAACAATCTTCACAAATAACCAGCGGAAACAAGCCAACACAAATTTCAATGGGTTCAACGCGAAAAATCTCTTGAGAAACAACACATATATAAATATCAACAGGACAATATGATACAATATGGGTGTGAATCAATACCTATTAATACCATTTTTAGGGGAATGAACATCCATTTACCAGCTATTTTGATGTTCACCAGGGGTACAAGGTTTTGACACACTGCCATATGGATTTTGCTCTGCCACCAGTGAACATTGACGCTGCAAAGCAGCAAACAATGATGGTTTTGGCATGGCTTGACCATCTCATGGTGGCATTTTCCCCCAGGCACAGCACCTTGGAGAAAATGACACGGGCATTCTCGATGTCATCGTGGGACTCGTAGAACTGGCACGGCACGGCAGCATGAAATGAGGATCAACCCGGTCAAATGATTAGAGAGAAGGATTGTTATGATTCTCAAACAATGACAATCACCTATATACTTGGGATATGATTTTTTCGGCATATTTGGGGATTCATTGAATTACCAGGTAAACTTAAGCCTTAAGGATCCAAGTTGGTAGCTTGTAAAGGAGTACTTGGGTTTTATTTGGAATTAAATCGATCTATATTTGGACGTATACAGGAAGGGCCCCCCCAGTTTTATAAAGTTGGGAGACCCGTCCAACTATCGATAATCCACAACAACTCAATTCTTTAGATCTTCGAATCAACCAACAGAAAACCTATAGAAAAAAACAACAATAAAACACCATAAAACCACATTAATCCCCTTGGATACGCCATGCCTGCGAAACATGTGACCCCGTGATCGCAGTATATCGCAATCGCCCGCCTTGGCAAAGGCCGCCCATAGGATCCATAGGCGACCTTCCGCCTTCTGAGGCTCAACCGTCATGACCTAGGGCCCATGGGGGCCTGGAAGAAACAGCGACAATCCGAGGTTTCCATGGCCATAGATCAAACAAAAATGGTTGGTTTAAACTGGAGAATCCGAACTTAAAATGGATAACTAGGGGTACCCCCATGACTTAGGAAGTTTGCCTTTTCATGGGCCGGAGAAAAAAAGGGTGCCTTTTCAAGTCGGACTTGTGTCATCCCTGTTATCCAGCCGAGCCCGAGCGGCTGCTTCGGTGAAGCAGCGAATGACCTTCTCAGGGGTGTCCTGGAAGGTGGTACCGCAACAAAAAGCTGGAGCTTGGCCTTCCTTGACCCTGCAAGAACCCTGAAAAATGGTGTAAAAGCACCATTTTTGGGGGATTTCATGGATTGTGATATTCCCCATTATACACAGGGTAGTATAGTCCCCAAACTATAATCTTCAACCAACCGGGGTTTAGCAGACACTGGTCACATGTCTTTTACAATACATTTTTTTGGGGGTGGCCTCAAACCAACTTCTAATGAAAATAGTGGCTCTGGCGGTTTTTTGGAAGGTATCGAGTTTGACTCGTACCTGCATGATGAAGAATCATGATAGCATTAATATTCTTAGGTATCCTTGATCAAATTCAACAACATATATAATGTCTAGCAACCTCAACATCAAGGATGTAAGCATTTCTATGAAAGCATCCAGTCACCTTAAGTTGACTTTGGAACCCGTCTCCTCCTCCTGCTCAAACGGCCACAAAAGAAGCCCTTATGATTCAGGGCACATGGTTTACGGCGACTGGCCTATTCCTATCTATCCCTCATACATTGATTATTACGCGTTTGAAACTGTGTATGTTTGGATGATAGGTGGGTTTGTCTGAAAATGGGATATACCCTCTGGTAAACTAACATGATCATAGCTATCAGCTATGGAAAATCATCCCTAATGGGTAAATCAACCATTTCGACTGGGCCATTTTCAAGTTTTTACCATTTTTACCATTGAAATAGCCATTTTTACTGGGGAATATGATGATCATCCACTCCACTGGGGGGTACTCCACTCGCGATCCCCAACCCACAACGCGATCAAAACGTCGTCCTTGTAGAGTTTGGCGCGCTGGAGCCACTCATGGACGTTGTGAGGATTCTGCCGGAGCTTCACGGACCTTGCGGATGCACGATGCACGGCCTTGACCATATGGTACCTACCATGAATGGTTAATTAATCTCATATGATCTCATATGAATCTATGAATATCTATGACTTTTGGATCATCTTGGATCATGGTTATCATATGTTATCATTAAATAGGCTTGATGAATTACATTACTATGTAGTAATATCATCTCAAGCACCTGAAGAGTCCCAACAAGAGGTCACCGCCGACCAGAACGGGTCGGAAACGGATCTAATCATATGAAGATCAAAAGCCTGAAACCTGAGGACACCCAATTTTACCTGGTAAAAACAATTGGAAAGATCCCACAGCCAGTACACATATATATATATATATATATATATATGTACATATATATATATATATACATATATATATATAGTGTATATATATATATGTACATATATTGATCTCTGTATCTCTGTATCTCTGTACTCAGCGACTGGTGATAAATATATTTATCTCATTTTATCTCTGTACATAAATATATTTATCACCTTTATTGGTTTTTCACCCTGGACTGGGCGTCTCCGACGACACCAGCTCCGGGCGTCGGCCCAGCAGGTCCTCCAAGCGCAGCATCAGCAGGTCGGCTTCGGCCGCAGAGACGGCCGAGGCCTGGGCGGATTTTTAGAGCCCCATGGGGATTGGAACATGGGCGGATTTTTCATGGTTTTTAATGGGAAAAAAAGGGTTTCTAATGGGTTTTTAAAAGATTGTTTTTTTTTTTTTTTTAAATGTTGTTTCATGTTTTTTTTTACATGGGTTTAACAATTTGTTTTTACAGTAATGGGTTCATGAATGGTGTATTTAATGGAAATATCACCAAACAGTGGGATGTAATGGGATATAATGGGACAAATGCCATGTAGCAAACTAAACCAATATGGGATGGCTTTGTGAGGGTGATCAAAGAGTCAAAGAGGTATGTTGATATGGTATGATAATGGGATGGTATATCATAGTAATGATCTGGTAATAGGATTTGAAATAGGTTTTGATGGAAATTGGATATAATATGATACAATGAGATTTGATGGGATGCTCATTATAGGTGACTTACTGGTTTCATGATAAATCACAATATTCTACATAACATATCTGTATGTATATACCGCTGCAATGGAGGACATGGTGTTGAAACATACTCATTCTAGGGCCCCTCATTCTGGAGCTACAGAAAGCTGGTAATGTTTAGATTCTGTTGGTAGTAAAAGCACCATTTTTGGGGGAGTACGTCGAATTTTGACCCACATCCAGCTTGGGTGCAACTCCCAATGCCAAGTGGAACGCGTTTGCGTATCGTACGATGTCGGATCATGTTGAATCCAATTTGGATGGTACCTACTAGTACCCATGCCTACCCCAAAATCCAACAAAAGGAATTGATGCCTTCATCAAACCTGTTCTTAATAAAGGGAGTAACATTGCCAATCTTAGATACCCTGCAAAATAAATTCTTTGCTGGTTAGTAGATATTCCATGATATTCCCATTAATACCAAAAGACTAAAGTGACTAAAGGATTAAAGTATCCATGTAAGATTGACCTCGGTAATTAGACCTTCGCAAAGTTGCAATTCATCGCCAGCGGCCTCTCTTTCCATGTGCGCGGAGATCAAGCTCTCGAGGAACTTGGCGTACCTGAAACATGACGACCAATCCAAACAGCGAACGAGTAATGATACTGTTGATGGAAGAAATCCTGCACCACCTTGGATGGTTGAAACCCTATAAATAATGGGATAAACCACCTATCAACTGGTGCAGGATTTCTTCCATCCACAGTAGTAATGTATTACAAGTGAGGTACATGTAGGTTGATCTGGCTTGTGGGCTGTACTTGTGGTACATAGAGGTAAACACATGCTTGCATCTCCTCTTACAAAGTTGCTGCACTTTTGAGTGCGGGTCTTTCAATGGCGTTGATATGTTCAGTTTATATATGTAATATATATATATATGTGTGTGTTGATCTGTATATGATAGTACCCATAGGATCCATGTATGGTATATATGCTAACATTTGGGGTATATTGATGGGATCCATGTTACCATATATAGCAGCACCATGGATCCGTCATGGGGTATACAGTAGGTCTCCTTTTAACGCACGGATCCCACTCATAGTCAGAAAAGCGAAAGGCAAACAGGGCACGATTCGAAAATCAGGGAGAAGTCGTGGACCTCAAAGCAACTGAGGAGCGAGGAGCAGTGGCTGCTGTCCTTTTGGGACATGCCAGGGTTGGTGGTTGAGCCCTACCCCTCTGAAACAGGTTAATCAATGGGAAGGATGGCATCCCATATATTATGGAAAATAAACAGTTCCAAACTATTAGTCAACCACTCTGAAAAATATGAAAGTCGGATTGGATCATCATCCCAACTATTGGGGAAAAGAAAACATGTTCCAAACCACCAACCAGTGCTAAAATCCTTGAATGTCTAGGAAGCAAATATTGCTTGCATCTGGCTGGATTTTTTTTGCTCATTCAATTCTTGATATTCAGCGTGAATCAAGCTGTTTGGTACCTTAATCCTCACATCCCTGATAGGAAAATCATCACCTTTGGATCCTTGGGTGCTGTCTTCTCACCACATCTCTTCAGGGTCAACCCCTTGGTCTTTTGCATTTAGGCTGGGGGGTGGTTCCACCAGTCTGGTGGTTGCAACCCTGGCAGCCAAAAAAAAAACGGCAATGTCAGATGATGGTCCCGGGAAAACACACCAGCCAATGGCTGGTCCCATAGGCAATGATAATGTGAAGTTCATTAATTTAATAATTAAACACGCCCTGTTAATCAACACCCACATTCCAAAAAATGGGTGTCAATACTAATTTGGGTTATTTAATACGAACTTGACATTCTTAGTCCCCATTTCCAATGAGGGTCTCAAAGAATTGATTGACGGAGATTGACGGTGTCCCCCATGAAGCCCTATTCCTGGTGGTTTGTATTAATCTCCACCTTTTGTTGGTTTATAGAATCCCTTTTCCCTATAATTACCCTCTGGTAAACGTTTACATAACTATGGAAAATCACCATACTATTAATGGCCACTATTTCTATGACCATGTTCAATAGCTTTTTGTATGTTTATCAGAGGGTGTATATATATATATATATATCATCTTGAATACAGCTCAAACACAAACGCTGGAAAGAATTGGATTGATTCATGTGATTGGATGATTGGGAACCCATATGATGGATATAAAGAAAATGTTGTATTGCTGCATATCATATGCCCATGTCAGGATGGTGAACACATCTTAAAACCTATGTTTTTCTAATGGTTAAGCCTCTACAAGGTTGTGCACCCCCACCAGTAGTAAGCCTATACCTACATCTACCATAAATGATAATTAGTTAATGTTGTTAGCACCAACTTGGCTATCGTGTTTTTCTGGTTACCCTCTGGTAATCCAACATTGCAAATTTGGTTAACTCCCGAACTAAATGGAGGTTAACAACCTGGGAAAATCAACGAACTAAATGATTGTTTTTCCATTGTCATGTTTGATTGCCAGAGGCTAATCATTTAATCCCCCTACTAATATTCCACACAGACCCCGAGGTTTGCCCGTTTGCCCAGAATAGCGTAAAATCCAGGGAATACTGTACGACGTCAAACAACAGAAAGGATGTTATGTTCAATTATGTTGCTACGGTGATAAGCAGAACATGTTGCTTCATGTTGCTTCATGTTGCTTCTACATATCATATAACCAGAACATGTCGCTTCTACATATGATATATATGGAATTAACCACACAGTCATTAGGGTTTCTTTTAGGGTTTCAGAAGATATCAAAAACACCATCATCATCATCATCATCATCGTCATCGTCATCGTCATCGTCATCGTCATCGTCATCGTCGTCATCATCGTCATCATCGTCATCATCGTCATCATCGTCATCGTCGTCATCCTCGTCATCATCGTCATCATCGTCATCATCGTCATCTTGGCTTGCCCGGACGCTCGTTGCGAGTCCGGGCAAACCTCAGGGTCTTGCCGTAATATTAGGAGTTAACACGTATAGATATCGTAGATAAACCATAGTTAACCATAGTTAGTCGAGTTATAACACACCTCAGCTGTCATTTGGGGGCCCCATGTACATATAGGGATTAGCAACCAATCAAAGTGAAACCAAGGAACGGTGCTCACCGTGGCCATCGCCTCCTCATAGATGTCGCGCGCCTTCTCAAACTGCCCAAGCCTGGCTGCGGTATGCTTGGGGCCCATATGAGGCACCTGGAAATCAGCACATAAGGAAACAAGATGCAAACATGAAGATGTTAAGGCCTTTGGGATTGTAAACCTCAGAAAACAAGAAACAACATTGCAGATTTGACCACCAAATAGTTGTGTTGTGTGCGTTCAAAGTAACGAGCCTAGGGGATTTTCACATGTGATATGAACCACCACCAGCCGCATAACTCGGGACCTGATGAAGTGATCGCCCAAAGAGATCCAAAGTCGGCCAACCTCCGCTTCAAACTCAAGTGGTGCAACTGCCCATGCCATGCCCATGTCATGCCCATGTTCATCCCATTTCGCTCCGGGGCGAAAGATTCCAATTCGAGTGGCCTCGTCAGTAAACTGCCGGATCCCACTACGAATGATGGACCTCGCATCGAGGCACTGGTTGCTGAAAATTGGAGATTGGGCTTACCCTCTGGTAATTGAACAGTTTATTTGCGAACTGGAAAATCACTTGTCAATAGCTTTTTCTGGTTGGTGGTTGAGCCACCCCTCTGAAAAATATACGTTCGTCAGTTGGGATGATTATTCCCAACTGAATGGAAAGTCATAAAAATCATGTTCCAAACCACCAACCAGTTGTTGTATCTTTACCAGCGATTTACCCTCTGGTAATTTAACATAGCTATAGAAAATGGCCCCTTAAATTCCATTCATAGTTGATTTACTTATTCCAAATGGTGGATTTTCCATAGCTTTTTGTAAACGTTTACCAGAGGGTAACCACATGAATATGATGAGTCATTCATATTTGGGGGCTGGTTTATGATTGGAATTGCCACATTATACCCTCTGGTAAATAAGCAGTTCGACCCTGAAAATCACCCATGTTGAATGGTTTCACTAGTCTTCCAACCCCGATGACTGCCAGGGTCTATGTCTATTTACCAGAGGGTATAAATGGTTATAACTGGTTAATCTATGGTTAATCTATGGTTAATCTATGGTTAATAACAATATATCTTATAACAATATATGGTACCATTTAAGATCCCATTCAGCCACATTATCATGAAGATCTTCTCCCCACTTCGCCATTCCAAGGCTTCACCGAATCAGATTTTTATGGCCGCGGGCTCGATGTTCAAGGCTTTGATGTCCGCGGGATGCTTGGAGACCTACACGACGACCCGTGTGGACCGCCAAGTTCACGAGGCCTTTTGGGAATGATAACTAGAGTTAGTGGATGTTCATGGATGTTAATGTTCATGGATGTAAATGGATGTTCATGGGCTTTATAAGCCAACATCACTGGGGGGCCACCTCGTTTGAGTCATGCTTGATGCAGGTTGGGCCTAGCTATCCCGTAAAGTCACGCCAACATCATTTCAGCACGGGTTTAACCCATCACTCATAGTCATTGTTGGTTTGCATCCCTCATTAATTGGAAAATTCCGAACATATTCGAACTAATTTATGTTCACAACACCGTCCAAATACGTACAATCCAAATATGATACACTATCAACCAATAACAGCACAGTTTAATCAACTGTCTTCGATATATACTATTCAATAATATTCAAGATAAGTTTATAAAAATGATGTTATTCATGATATTCAAGGAGCATTCCATTTCACAAACCACCATTTGAGCCATTACAGTAAAAACACTCCTATCCCATCTCATGGGACGCTCGTTGGTTGAAAACGGTTTCCCTATGGCTTATCATAATCCCCAGTAAACCAGGTAGTATAACCCCCTATAGCAATCAATCAAGCATCATTCATCAATTATATCCCTATGTTTGATAGTTCACAACCTATTAAAGTCTATTTTTTGGATGGTTGAGTCATATCAATCCCATATAAAAACCAATCAACCAGGGTACCCTCTGGTAAATGTTTACATAACTATGGACAATCACCATTTCTAATAGATAAATCAACTATAAATGGCCATGTTCAATAGCTATGTTAGTTTACCAGAGGGTATTTTTAATGGTTCATCTGTTCACAGGATGAGCCATCCACCAGTGGCCCACCAGATCACAGAGATCCATCCACAGCTGGTGACGAGTCTTGCCCTCCATGGAGCTGAAATCCTCAATTTTTACATGGGAACAATGGCATTTGCACGGTCGAATTGTGGGAAATATGTGGGAAATAAAGATAAATAAATATATATATATATATAATAAAAGTAATCATAATGATGATAATAATAATAATATACAACATTCATACAATGTTTATAATATATAGATATATGATATTATGTGTATATAATGATGATAATAAAAATAATAATAATAATAATAAATAAATAATAATAATATAATAATGATAATAATAATTATTATTATTATAATGATAACAACAACAACAACAACAGTAATAATAATAAGATATATCTATATATATATGTGCAATATTTATAAAATATAATAATAATAATGATAATAATTATTATTAATAGTAAAAATAATACTAATTAATAAACTAATAATAATAATTGATAATAATAATATATATATATATATGTACTTATAATATGTGTATATGATGTATAATCATACGTATACATAATATGCGAAATACGATGAACTATCTATAATATAAAATCAGGAGTCAATCCAGGTTGACAGTGTGACATTGTTGGAAAAGCGCGGGTTCGGGGGCTCGTTTAAATTGGTCTATCCATTGACATCCGGGCCTTCCAAATCAAAGGCCCTCAAAATCCAGAAGTGAAATATTTACACCATGGATTTCTCTAAACATGATTTTTTTTTAAACAAAAAACTGAAATTACAACGTTTATGATAGTTTTGATCATCTTTGTTTTGAAAGGAATATCATGAACATGATTTCTTTCAACATACTTTAGAACCGAAACTGATGAACATCTGTGGAACTTCAAGGATCTTCCTGCTGAAAGGTTTTCGGACAGGCAAGCACTCCTCATCGTCGACAACATTTGCCAACTTCTGAGCGGCCTCGTCGTAACGCCTGTGGAAGGGTTTCTCGTCTAGCAGATCTGGCAGTGGGAAATTCAACATTTATAGGTTATAAGTTATACTAGATGATTACAGTTTATAGTTTCTATATTGAAATTAGATTATGTTTCAAAATCTTTCTATTAAAAATATTAGACACATGCCTTTTCTTTTCCACTGTAAGGTTTGATTAACAAACTCAGCAAAGGCTATCGTCCGCTGAGAGCGAGGCCCGATGGTCCGCAGGTAAGCGATGTAGATCTTGGCAGGTGCGCCGTGGTCTTCCATCGCAATTTCCCAAGTGAAGTCACAACAAAAGTCAAATGTTATTATAGTATGTTAACACTATTGTTACAGTATCTTATGGACAAATATTGACACACTAGAATAAATATGTGACCAAGTGAACCCTCCTTTTTTGATCTCAACAGCTTCGACTGTATTGGCTGTTGGTGGCTGTTGGTGGCATGAATCTCAGCTGATCTCAGCCGCAAACCTCTACATGATCTGGCTCCAACATGAGGTAGCGTCTGAAGGCACAGAGAGCCGTCTCCTGAAAAAAAACATTTATGGCTTAACCCTTGGTCATTGCAAGAGAAAGTAGCTAACATATTCAAAGATCATAATTTGAATTATTTGATGTAGGTTCTTAAAGATGCTAAATGAATGATCTGATTTATTTCATATTGTTTTTTGTTGTATCTTTTACGGTCAATTCCCAAGGGAAACGGGTTAAACGGCCCCCCAAACTTTGGGCAACCCCCATCATGCGATCTCCTTTGGCACTTCACCATCCTTGATGAATTTCACATAGAGCTCCTGGCAGTTTATTCTGCGGGGACTGGGGGATTTGTCAAATCACCATGGACAGAACTCAACTCATTTTAAGAACTTAAGTGCTATTTCATGCTTGTTAGATCTTGTTAGAGCCTTTTGATAATTTGGATGCGTGTTTTTTCGAGCACTACTTGTTCACAAAACAAATCCTGAAGATTGGTTTTCAGTGCATAAATGATAGCCGTGTGCACCCAAATCCGCGAGTGCTGTGTGATGGGCAACGAGCGCAAAGCCTCCAGCTCCAACATACATCAAGGTGGGTTGGAAGCCGAAGCCGAAGCTACTTGTTCTGTCATGGAAACCCTGGTTACCCTCTGGTAATCAAACATGACAAGAGAATTCTCACCATTTATAGATGATTTCCCCTTCAAACTCCATTGATAGATGATTTCCCAGCTGGCACCACCAAAAGACTACCTACCACTTTTGCCCTGAGGATTCAATGGTACCGAGGAGTCTGCTCGATCTAGTGCCCTTCGTGCTCTGGTGATTTTCTTCTGCTTCATCAAGAATTCGATGTAGTGAAGCCTTGGACCAAACTCAGGGCGCCACATATGTTTTTGTGGACTCTGTGACGACTCTGTGACCTCCGTGGGCGACCAGTTGATCTCAGTTTCACACCAAATCCTGGGCATCTTGTGCAAGAAGACCAAGGCCCTCTCAAATGCATTGTTGCATGCCTGGAGATAGGCACTATGAGGCGAGGGAGCTCCACGGATCTTCACTTGCCTACTGCATGCAGAAATTCAGAAGTGAAAAAACTATGGTAAACTATGGTAAACTTAGTGAGGATATGTAAGGATTGTCCCGAAATAGATCTTACACCTCTTTTCACAGGGTGTCCCTCTTCATACAATGTCCATCAATGTCCATCAAGGGACAGCCAAATTTGTGACACCAACTGTGGCAGTTGCCTCATATTCTGGGTCCAAAATGGCAGAATCTTTGACCTGCAGAAAGGAGTATGGAGGATGAGAAAGAACAGATTTACCGAATCAACAGGTAATGCAAATGTTTAAGTCTATATATATATATATTATAGGATCAGTAATTGGAATCAACCAGGTTTTTTGAGTAGGACATTGATACTGACTGATTTTACAGTCATTCACACCGCAACTGCAGTCTGCTGCTCTCTGAGTCTTGAACGCTCTGCATGCGGAGCCTGAGCGCTTACTTGGCTTGACACGGGCAAATGGAACACTTGGTAGCATTCATGTGGATTCATGTGGATTCTCCGCTTGCAGGTCTCATATTCTCAGCCCTTCCCATATCCTTCCATGGAGTCCATGGAGAAAGAAGCCAGGGTCGAGGCTGGAGATAAGCATGCCAAAGTTTGTAGGAACCAGGCAGCTCCTCTGGGGCCATCCCTCATCACACCATCCCAAAAACCGATCGTCGAGGCAACGCAGTCCTTGACAGCGCGCTCATAGATCAGGAAGCGCACTTTTAATGAAGCTTCAGCCTGCACGTGACGCTCCCGGTTAAACTGGGAAAGCAACCAATCAAAATGGCTACGATGTAGCAATACATCAAATATATATATATATATATTCAAATATCATACGATAACAGCGACTTATTCGTTTCTCTTCAACAGCGAAGGTGATTGAGGTGTACTTACTGACTGCCATATCTTACCCTCTGGTAATTTAACATAGCTATTGAAAATGGCCCATCTATAGTGGATTTACCCATTGAAAATGGTGATTTTCTATAGTTATGTTAGTTTACCAGAGGGTAAGATAAGGAACCAATGGAAGCAACCGTACTCAGAAGCCATCCAAGTAAACATCCAGCCCATGGTGCCCTGGTGGTTTCCCAGCCACATTGGTTGCTTAGGAGGCCAACCTGGTAGGCCAGGAATTATCCTCAAATGAAAACTCCAGAAATGGTGCTTGATGAATGGTGAATCATGATCAAATACACTATCAAATGTCCATAATCTTCAACTAGCATGGTCTTCACTGACCGTTGCACCAGGATTGATAGTTTTTAAAAAAAAAAAAACAGAAACTACTATTGTCGCTTGTTGACCTATTATTACTGATGGTGATAATGATGGCATGGTATATCGGACATCCAATTCCCATTGTCGTGTAAGTCTGCCGGGATGGTCGATGCTGCTTGTGATCACAACAAAAACTACCGGCCAGTGCAACATAGTAACATAGTATGAAGCCCTATTGTCATCAATCATTTATCAGCTATAACTTAGTTATATCATGTTATATCCACCTATCTCGTCATATAACCCCAAATAACCATCAACCAACATATCATATCAAAATTACCAAAAATCATGATATCATATTGAGTTGATGCTTGACATCCCTATCAAATTACCACATATTACCACATCATATTCATCAACCCTGTGGATATGGGTGGATCACAGCCGCAGCCGCAGCCACCGCCTTCGCTTTGACATATGCGCACCACAGCTTCACCTGCGAAATCTGGCTTCCAGCAACCAAAAAAGAATTGATGTAACCACCACAGTGGGTGAAAAATCAACAAAACATGGGAGTGAAGATAGTGAAGGGTCAACAGTTTAAGACCCTGCCCGCAAAGAAAATCCATCCTGTTCTTTTTGGCTGGAAATGCCACTCTTCTTCCCTTCTTATTCACTTGCTAAGTGTTCCGAACACGAATCATATTAACATGGAAACCCCTCACAAATGGCGGCTAAACCCGTTTTCCTGGTCATCATTTGTTTGTTACATGTCAAACTTCATGTGCATCTCAGAAACAAGCCGCATCCATAGCTTAAGAACATATCATCATCCATGTTTGATTTCTTACATGTCCTGTGGTGGACTGTGGTAAACCAAATGACCAGATATGTCAAAATCCCCAATGACTTAGCATGAATTATTTGGGGATGTTCCAGAATTCATGGTTCATCACCATATGGGAATGTTCCACGATTCCCACTAATCAAACTTTCCGTATAGCAAACAAAATCCCCAAATGCCATCAGATATCATCAGCTCAGCCCGGCGGACGCTGTAGGGATTTTGCTGTAGCTCCTGCTCATATGCAACGTCCGTTTCGCGCCTCAAACGGCGCACAGGTGGCTTTCCGAGCATGGAGATATCCATGGTATCAACATGTATCAACCAACGTGGGAAAACCAGCAACATTAATGGACACATGGTAAACATTAACCGCAAAAAAATGATGAGTCTGAGTTAGTGAATGCAAGCCTTCAAAGATGGAGATTCCATCAAGCTGTGTTATAAATATATAGTAATATATATATATATATATTATATATATATCATATTAGTGTTTATTTATTTATTTAACATTCTAAAACCACAGCGTGCTGGTCATGTACGACATGTTGGTGACTGTTCCACCATGGAAAATAGGAGAAGATTCTCAGGGAATCAGGCAGGTCATGTTTCGAAGGATATACCCTCTGTCAAGGGGATATCCCCACAAAATATGGCCTGAAATATGGTACAGTACCTTCATTTTAGGATCCTGAAATTTCCATTGACTCTGGTATTTTAACAGTGTGCTATGGAAAATGAACCATAGAAATACCAAACGGTTTTACCAATGAAAAACATGTGATTTTCCATAGCTTTTTGTATGTTTACTAATGGATATCCCAGGTACCCGGGGATCTGGGATGGCTCTACCATTTTCTGAGGCGAAAACAGCACGTCATCTGAAATTGCCTGCACCGGTGGTCTGCCAGCAAATTCTCCATGGAAAACTGCCATTCTCCATGGAAGCCCCAAGAAAACTTGTAAGATGATGTTCCTACGGAACACGGGATGGATTCTAAGTTTCAGTGCTGCAAATATGGCCATATGAAAAAATGGGTTGCTCCCAACACCCTAGACCCTAGACCGATAGATACAAGGCTGGAACAGTGCAAAAATGGGCAAATAAGATGCAAACATGACCCATTTTCCCCTCTTGTGGCTGTATTTTACCGATAATGATGGATTATCATTCCCTTATCCATATATCCCATAATAAGAAATATTTTCCCAATTATCATTGGGAATGCTCCGACAGGATTGTTTTACCCTGTCTGGTTGGTGGTTTTAACCATCTTGAAAAATATTAGTCAATGGGAAGGATTATCCCATATATGAAATGGAAAATAAAAAAATGTTCCAAACCACCAACCAGTGAATCATTTTTTAACCACTAGCAAAATCACTATTAACCACCATTAAACGACTATCAACCATGGAACCACCAACCAGCTGTAATATCTCTTCAGCGTTTCCGGGGTTCCACTTCTCCATCATTCCACTTTCGCCGCCGCAAAGCCTCCCATGAACCTTCCATCCACTGCGCCTCAGGTGCTCCACCATCACCCAGCCGTTGAAGCCTAAACCCTAAACCCCATAGAAAATCATAGAAATATACACATCATTGGAATGAATTGGAATGAATCCCCATGATTTCTATTCATGTTATGTATTTCCAACGGCTTTAAGAACAACATTTCAAGCCCTCGCACACACTTGGTTCGGACAAACCACATCAGCATTAAATTACCGCATGTGTAGTCAATGGCAAATTAACCCAATCTATAGCAGTTTTTTTATCTTACATTTTTACCTTCAACAAATGCTACTTCCAATCCAGGTTGTCTCCCCAATCATGAAGCGATTCAAAGCCTCTGAGGCACACACGGGCAGTGACAAACAGTGTCACTGTGGGATGGGATATCGCCCATCGAGCAGCTCGAAGTCGCGGCGACTTAAGCGCATGGATGTGGCCAACTTCACTGGGTTGAAAATCTACAGGACTCCTGATATTCCTGGGTTCAGCATGAACCACAGAAATAATAGTGTTTGCCCGATAAAAATGGGAAAAACACATGAAAAACCTTATCATCGTTTTCCACCCGTTTGAATTGCAGGCAGGTTTGGTGGGTATACACCATTTTCAAACACAGCCACATTGGAGATGTCCAGCAAATTCTCACCTAAACCAACTCTGGGACAGGAGTATTTTTCCTGATTTGCTCTGGACAGGCTGTGTCTTCCATATGGGTGAAAATTGAGCACGTCACCCACAAATTGGCCAAGAAGTATAAAAAACACCCAGATTCCATGACTCGCTGAACTTTGACCCACCGTCATGTCATGATATTCTCAAATTCAACCGGGGTCATGTGATGACTCATCAATTCAAAATATTCAAAGTCAGAGTTCTGGTGCCTTTTCCCATCTTTTCCCCGCACAGCTGTGACGTCCGCCATTTTGTGTGCATCATGACGACCAGCGCTGCAGGTGGCAAATTTCATGTTGATCCATGCCACCTGCAGCTCAAATGAAAAGACCTATGATCAGTGCTTGAGGAAGAGGTTCATTAAATCGTCCTCCTGGCCGAGCCGATCAGGGCATGCACTGGGAGCTTTTTGAAGAATTGCCATCTTCAAACTACGTTGGGTACCCGTCAAACATATTCAAAAAATTGCATATTCCAAGAGAATTTTGCTAGTCTTCCTAATCTTGATGAGCATCTCAGAGGGTGCCTCTGGCTTTCCGCATCTGCCTTGATCATCTTTGATCTGGTTTGGACATGAATTGGTTTATAAGCCTCGTTTACTACTTCGATCTACCATAAAACCATACTTCATCTGGTAACCAAGTTAGCCATCATAAAGCCATGATCAATTCACTTGTTTGTTGCTGAACAATTTCATCTGGTTGGTGGTTTCAACCCCTCTGAAAAATATAAAAATCAATGGGAAGGATGACATCCCATATACTATGGAAAATGAAAGTCATGTTTGAAACTTTGAAACCACCAACCAGATGATGTTTCTTAGAATGTTTGAGGGCCCAACATCCCATAGTTTTCCTATTGAAACTGAGGGCCTCATCCAAGATGTGGCGACAAATGGACTCGACCGACTCATCCACCTGGACCCCCGTGCTTTCTAGCACAAAAAACCAGCAAATATAGAGGTTTATAACAGGAAACATCCGGAAACCCATGGTTTCTAGATGTTTCTGGCTGTTTCTACCATCACATCATTTGGGGTTTCCAGATGTTTCATGATGTTTCTACTAGTTTCTACCATCAAATATAGAGCTTTCCTGTCTAGACATGCAATCCCTTCAAGCAATTCAACCAAACCAATGACAAAATGATCTACAATGGGAATCTGACCTACAAGAAAAACGGGTGAAACCCTATTTTGCATATAACAATCTCATGCTCCGCTGTTGCTAAACCTGCCCAAAAATGGTACGCCCCACTTGGACAGAACCAGCATGGAGGGGACCAGGGATTTCTAGGGAAGTGTTTGCTATTCGATGAAACCTTCTGCAGACAATCCTCCATGTATATCGATAAATGCATGATTAAACAAATGTGGAGAATGTCACCCTCCCAGTAATATGGGGGGTAGCCCACCAGAATGATCCGAACTCGCTACAATAATGTACTATACATATTTATATATATATACATATATATATATATATATACATATATATACATATATATATATATAAACATTTGTAAACTACAACTACACCCAACAAATGAGGCGAAGCCCGGTGTACTTCAGAGAATCGAAGTAATTAAAGATCATCCCATTGGGGGATTTTTCGACGACCAGGTCGCACTTACCCTGTAAATTAACAGTTCGACCCTGAATCCATAGCCTAGTTTTAATGGTTTCACTAATCTGCCAACCCCTATGAAAATGCCAGGGTATATGTGAATTTACCAGTAACTGTTAGGATTTGGATCATTGGACCAACTGAAAAGCATATGGATGAAGAACTCATTGGTTTATATCATTGGGATCCACCATATGATGGGATATTTGAAGGGTTATAGCACTTGATATATCTGGGTAAATTATCATATTTCACGCACCTGAATTGATTAAGGTCATAAAAGGGGATGATTTCCCTAGATTCCAGGCTTCGGGAGAACAGGGTTCGGTCGTGATCAAATTTACCCAGATTATGCATTAACATTCATTCTATCCCAGAATCTACCCATAATCATCCAGTAATTAGTAATTATGTCCATTATTATCCCATAATATCACCGTTTCAAGATTCATGGATGGGAGATGCCAATATTTTTAATATAGAAATATCCCATAATATCCCATTCATATCATCCCATTCATATCCCATACATTTTGGCCAACGGCCTTGCTAAAAGCAAGACATGCGACCTCCAAATCAAAGGAATCCACCATGACTCGCAACCTCCGGCGATTTCCCAGCGAAAATGGCTTATGATCATCCACTATTCCACAACATATATATATATACACATGTACATATATGTATATATATATATATGTATGTGTATATATATATATATATTATAGGTGTATATATATATAATATATATATAGACATACGTACATATAAAAAGGGTAGGAAAATCCCCGAACTAATCACCAACCAACAGCAGTTTAGCAGCCACTGCTCAAGTGAACTTGATGTACGGAAAGCTGCTCTCAGGTTTCCGCTTTCTCAACATCTCATCCGTTTGTTTCTTGGTGCTTAGCACCGACTCCATGCTTGCCGACTGGCGCAAACGATGCAAACCTGGTTCAGGCAAGGAGATCAACAGTCCACTGCAAATGATGACATCTTAGGATACTGAAGTTGTCAACATCCACCACTGCTCACCTTTTCTGTTTCATCACATGTTCATATTGTTCCGCAGTGAATTTCATGTGAAATCGCACTTTCAATATCTTGCAACTGTGTGCCATGTCTTATGGGGAATTAAACGCTGATAAGCAATAGCAGCAACTAGCAATACAGTGGTATGGATGTAGGACTAGTGGCAGTGGGTGATAGAACCAAGTACCGTGCATGCAATAGACACAGTATGGGATCAATGGAAATGGTGTATGCAATGGATATCCATAATCAATAGATACAGTTTGGAAATGGGATGAAATGGGCAGAAAGCAAAATCGCCCAATTTTTTTGGGAGCTTGCTTCAAGTGACGATCAGCATCACCTCTCCCCGTCGAAAGTGTAGAAATGATTGTGATGGGACTTTGGGAATGAGAGCATGCAGAATCGAGAGCAAAAACAAAGACCCATGTTGCTTGCCTCTTGGACGTACCGGATGCTGAAGGTACTCATGAACAAACCAAAGACCATCTTAAATAGGGAAATGAATGGAAATAAAGATAAACTCTTGGGTTTGGGGGTACCATAAGTACCATTGTCTTCAGACAAACCCATGAGTCCTAGAACATCACAGGTTGTATCACTGAGGAAATCGCTGCTTCGTTTTTGCTCCTCTTCTATGCGGGAGACGCATCGCCTTTATCAAGCTCTGCTGATGAAACTCTGTTCCAATGGTGAAACGATTAAACAAGCATGGCAATCCGAAGGCAAAACCAAGCAAAGTATGTGGAACTAGTAATTAATATAAATTATCCAAACATTCAAACATCATTATGTTCTTTTTTTGCAAAGTCGACACGTTCAACACAGAGACACGGAGCTCTCCCGGATTTTCTTCCCCTCAGTTCAGGGCCAAAGTGCTGAAGCACCACTCATTTTCGCCTGGCCCAGTCAGCCCAGTCGCAGGGGGGGACGCTTTTTTGTCCCAGATCAAGGGAGGTCTCAACAGCCAGAATTTATACAGGATGGCGCCACAGTTCGTTGGCAAGTTTTTTTTTCTTCGTCCAATAAGTAGGATTGATGGGCATATACTGTAACTAATTTGTCAAAGTGGATTATAAATCAACTTATAACTGGGGGGCACCATCCTGTATGTATACATATAGAAACCAACAGCCATCAAAGTTGACGACCCCTACTTTGCGTTTGAGATATCTAAAATATTCTAAAAGCCGGGCCTGTTGGAGAATGACAATGTGAATGATAATTTATAGTACATGGTTGCTTTTTAAGACACTTTTAAAGGGCAGATCCCCTGTAATCTTAGGGCAGAAATATGGTCCACTCCATTCAAATCGCCAGGATCCGTGCGGCCTTGTGCTGCGTCTCAGAAAGTCTGTGGAGACTCAGCGTCGCAAAGCGGGTCACCTCAAACCCGGGTGCTGGAAGTCATGACTTTCAGGCGACATGTACTGGTTGGTGGTTGAGCCACCCCTCTGAAAAATATGAGTTCGTCAGTTGGGATTATTATTCCCAATATATGGAAAAATAAAACATGTTCCAAACCAAACCAGAAAAGCCATGGTTGCTCTGTTTGAAACTGATCCGCATTCATGGTGGCTTTGAAACATATCTATGGTATCAATGACACAGTTCACACACCATGGCATATTGATGATAACGGGATATTGATGATAACACAATCACGCCATGGCTAATCCATGTGTCATTGGGAATTTCTGGGAAATGCTTCATACATGAAGCAATTCATATCAATTGAGTAGGTCTTATACATATATATATGAGGAGTAAAACGAATTGGTTTGATTTAAATAACACACATCTAATTGGCAATTGAGCAAACACAAGAATACTTAGAATATCAGTGCGGCTTTCTCCCTGTTGACAATTCAAGAACCACTGCAAATGCTCTTATGAATTCATCATTTCCGGATTGAGGGGCGCAGAACGACTTCGGAATCGATCTAGGCTGCTGCCACGTGACATTTGCCCATCCATTTCCATTGCTCAGAAGCACTGGCCTAGGTAAATCCACGGTCACTGATGTCACTGATACCTAGGCCCAGAAGATACCACGAATCATTGGATGGTTGCTTCAATCCGCCTTGAAAACGTAAAACATCGCTACATCGATATCATGCCAGGAATGGGAAATCATGGGAACCAGCGGATCTAGTGACTTTCTGCCCTCACTTTCTGAATTCCTGAACCAACGTATGCAAGATTCAGATCAAGACAGTGCTGCTGTTGGGTACTCTCTGGACACTGAAGTCAATGAACTAAGCTAAATTTCAAAGATTTACATTGTACATTCTACATCATTATACCCGAACAAGTTTTTGCAACCCGAATGATTTGCTTTTCTTGTTTTGGATTTTCTTGGGATTAAGCAGATCAACTCCCAAACCCCTTTGAAACTCGCGTCAATCAATGTGGATCAAAGAAGTGGATATGTAATATAATATCTCCAATCTGATTGGCCAGCGCATGTACGGCATTAACAAAGGTACCATTAAAAAAGAAAACACCCCCAAATTGGTTACCCCAACAGTTGCCCCAACAAAAATCATCATCTGCTCCGAAAATGACACACCCCCAATGGATTTCCAGACTGGAGCCCCAAGGCCCTTGAGCCCCTCGCTGCGATCCCAGGTCGGCTTTCGCCATGGGCGAAGCAAGAAACCAAAGAAACGAGGGCGTCGTTGCAGCTGAGATTGGAACTCCATCTTTGCAACAAGTCAAACATGAAACCATAAGGATTGCGAGTATTTCATAATATATCCCAGAAATGAAATCATATCTTTCGGACCTGACAATAAAGGCTCAACATGGCTAACTTCAACATAAATCAACTCAAAGTTAGTATCTCCAAACAGCGAAGTGCCCCAACTGACCACGTTGTTTTTTGCTGTTTGAAATGACCACGCGTCATCTCCCCACTGAGCCAAACATATGCAGATGTGGTGCCGTTGGTGCCCGGAACCGGGCGCGACCAACTCGGGTCAGGAAACCGATTTGGCCCGATTTACTGTTGATGGAGTTTGTTCTTTTGGGAGTTCATCAACTTGAGCTATTTGCCATCGGGTTTGTTGTTCTGAGGTTCCTGTAACAATTGAGATAGTTTCTATAGCTTGTCCAAGAAGGATTGAAAAGAGGTATCCAAAAACTGAAGCATCAACTGAAATTTGGGTCCCCAAATAGAATCTGCAGATTCGATTCTTGGGTCCCCCAGTCAGTGAAGAATGATCTCCACTTTCCCACCTTAACTGGTAACTCGTAGCCACTCTCCGGTCCACCCGTAGCGGCCGCATCTTCCGCATCCGCTCAGGCGCGTTGGGTCCATCCGGGGGGAGGAGACAAAAGCGCCTCCTCAGTTCTGGAATTCCACCACCAACTGGCACCTGGAGGACACTGAGTTCTGGAGCTGGAGATCACTGGCTTGGCTTAGTTCGAACCATTTTAAGCAGAAATCATGGTTCTTATAATATACATAATAAAAATGTATGTATGTATATATATATATGATCAAATATATGTGTTTCTTGGAAACGTTCCCATCATCCATCATCCAATTCTGAGCAATGATCATCATAAAATGGGAGAGACTCTGCCCACCTGGGAAATATCATATACATATATATATATATATTATATAATTACATATATACATATATACATATATATATATATGTATGTATATATATATGTATATATATATAACAATGCGAGAACATCAAATAATGGGTGAGTGTCAAATGTCTTGATTGCAGCACAGCATGGTGAGGCTGTGAAATGCCGGGTTCACGAAGCCCAGCAGTGGCTGAAACATGACATCTCCCAAAAGCAGTCCTGTTTCTGGATGGACATACTCTTCCCACTCCTGATTCATCACGCGCTGCCAGCAACGAACAGCACAAACATCGCACATCTGGGAATCTGGGAAGTCATTGAAAAGGATCAGGAAATATTCTTGAAGTCAAGCAAGGCGTGTGTTCTCTCTCAACACAATGAACATTGAGACATCCCTCTATTTTGTTCAGGCACAGCAAACATATTGAATAAACATAATAACACAATAAAACATTGATAATACCTTGCAAAATCATCCGAAATCTGTGTCCCTGGGTCTTGCATCTTATTCCATACCCATCTAGGATCCCAAAGCGTTGCAATTGGGTATACCATTTTGGAACCAGAAAGGCAGGCATTGGTAGTACTGAACCATCCAATTTGGGCATTCATTCCGATTGAAACGAGGATCCATTCATAGTTGCTTGAGAGTGCCTGTGGTGCTGTTTTTTTCACCCATCTTCCACAGTCAAATGTCATTGGTGCAAGAAATCACTCTTGTGGATTTCAAGAAAATCCCCAACAATCACAAAATGGATACTTTATACTGGAAAATGGGATCACAACAATATAAAATTATCCTGCGGCAGTCCTGAGCAGCTGAATCCTCTTCCTGAACCTGTGGCATGGTCTGTGACGGCTGCTGTGGCTGCCACTATTGGTGAATGTCCCGGTAAGCGTGGCGATGGAAACTCGCCATTGGGGGTTCCATAAATGGTGATACCCAAAAATGGATGGTTTATAATGGACAATCCTATTAAAATGGATGATTCAGGGGTACCCCCATTTTAGGAAATTTCCATTTATGTAGATAATTTTCCCGCTGGTAATCCTACAGGGCTGGATGCTATACATGGAGGTTACAATGGGAAAATCCGATGTACATGGGGGAGTTTCCAGCTAGCAATGTTTGATGAAAATTGGAGGGTACCTCCGGAAATGTATTCAGGATGAGGATTTGCCATTGTTGAATTTTCCACTTTGAAGTTGGGATGCCCACATGGTACATGTTTCTGCTACAGTATCCAATAACCTACCCGTAGAAACAACCATCCTGGCTTAGATCGAATAGACACTTGGAAGGTCCCAAAGGCTCGCAAACAACATGAAGATTGAAATATGAGTTGAATTCCACCTACTCCAGGAGATATGAGGGTCTTATGTGTGTACAACATATGTAAAGAAGTTTGAAGATACATACCTGGTTGGTGGTTGAGCCACCCCTCTGAAAAATATGAAAGTCAGTTGGGAGTATTATTCTCAAATATTCTCAATATATGGACAAATAAAACATGTTCCAAACCACCAACCAGTAGAGGTGATTTGCCGATATTTACCTATTAAAAGTGGTGATTTTCCATATGATAATGACTAACTAACAGGTATAATCGTGGCTTAATAGTGTTTTTTTTTGTGGTCAAATGAGATCACCTATCAACGTATGTATTTGTTCTGCATCCCAGGATCGATCGAATCTGGGCTGATAACGGGCTGACGGCAATGCTCAAACTTGACCCTGGTGCTTGTAATCCAACCAAATATTGAAGCTCATTAATGGCTATGTAGTTCACTTAGTTAAACGTGGAAACTGCCCAACAAATGCGGAGAAAAACCATTTAACATGCTATTAAGTAGTGGTGAGAGACTTTTCTATCTTTCTTGGGGTTGCTACTGCTACTGTCTATAATAAACAGAATCTAATCAATTAACATAAAACAAGGCTTCGTCAACCAGCCTTAGTTCATCAATCAGGATAAATTGCAATTATTTGCCAGCCTGAAATTGTGTCGTGACTTCGCAGTGAGGTCGTGAAATAAACCACCCAGGTCGTTGGTCATAATCCAATCAAATTTGATTGTGGCGGCTCATGTTGACATGTGTTAGCAACTTAATTAGTCATTCAAGTCATTCAATGGGTGCAATCCAAATGATTCAAAAAACATGTCCAGCCAATAACTTATTAACCTATATTAACTTAACCGTTGATCAACGGTTGTAACAAATTGCTTATAAGATCTTATAATCCAATCTTCACGTGGTAAAATCCAAGCACCATCCCGCGTCATCCGCAGTCAGCCGCGCCTCTGGAGGTGGGTCTGGGACATACCAGCCACTCTCCTCGGAATTCTCCAGCGATTTTTTTCGGGCAGAAGTTCTGCCCGAAACATTTTTTAAGAAACCATTGGATATAAGGTGGAGAAACATTATGATAGAAACCCCTATTTTTTTACATATCCCATGACGGATCCATGGTGCTGCTATATGGTGTGCCATGGATCCCATCAATATACCCCCTTTGTGTTAGCATATATACCAGCAGTCATCTTGATGGAAACAAGCCATGTAGATAGGCCACATATCGGATGGATTAAAAGCAAGCGGTACTGAACACAAGTCAAACGTGATAGTTTCCCTTTTAAATAGGTGATTTTCAGGGTCTATGTTAATTTACTGGAGGGCAAATCTATTCAGTCACCAATACTTATGATATCTGATGATATCGGATGATGGCAAGAGGAGGACAGCGCAAAAAAATAGGATGCTTCATACTGAAGCAACATACTGGGGTGATTCCTGAAACACAAGCTATTCCTTGGGTGAGTTACCATTCATGGATCATTGGAAGGTAGATCAAGGCATATTACCATCAAAGAGTCTGTGCCTTTTTGGGTCACTGCATGTCACTGCCACATGTTGACCCTGTCACAACAACAACGTTGCATGATCGTAACCTGAACTTTCTCATCCGATTCATCCTAACATGGGGACGCCATGGCATAACATGACCTGCCAGCGCATGTTCATATGTTCCCAGTCAGTGGAATGCACGACTGTAAGTGTCAAAATCTGTTGTGGACCTTGAAAGGAATGGCTCAGAACTATTTGGGCCATATTTGTCCCAAATATGGTTTGGTTTGTTCGCTGCTCGCTCGGAACCATTGACCCAAAATAAATTCGGTTTGTAGACTGCAGTCTATAGTCATTGCATCAATGATAAACACATGTGTGGCTGCATTGGTAGCCTGTGCCTGTCCTTCACCCCTCCTCAAGTGCTATGATTCCGTCGCAGCACTGGTTGGCTAAGGCGTTGACAGCCAATGGATGCACTGCTGCAGGATTGGCCTGTTCAAGCGACCAGCTAGGTTCCGTGCATCCCACCTAGTAGGGGTTAAGATGCTTAGATACCCACCTTGAAATGGGGTTACCCCCGGACCATTTTCGTATTGAAACCCTATGGAGTTTGGGGATCCCCCATTTAAAAAGAAACCCCCACGATTAGTACATGCATGAAACGCCTCATCTAATCGTCATTAACAGTGCAATCAATCGCTTGATCCACTTGCTTAGGATTTGCAGGTATGAATTGGCCTGCATTCCATCATTCCCTCCATGCCATCTGTTCCCTGGATTTGCATCATCCTTGCGCACAAACATGTGTCTAAGCCTATGCATCCACAAACTTAAACATGTTCTCGGCTTGTTTGCTCTGTATATCTTGCGTTCAGGCCTTCAGCAACAGCCTTTCAGACTCTGTCAGGCGCTATGTCTGCAACAGGAACATCACATGATTCAGGAAGTACATCCCACCGAAGAATTGAGGCATCAGGATGAAATTGCCATGATCACAAGCTGTGCCATGACAAGCCATTGAGATACTCTGCATTTGGATCCTCCCTGTCAAAAGATTGGGCATATGTAGGTCAATCAGTCAACTATACATGTGGCCGTGGTCAAAACGGGGATCCCTAGTAGGGAGTCCCACTAGTTTTGGGGTGGAGAATGACTGTCCATCTGCACGCCGAAATCCAATCTGAAGATATGGCTATGTCTGAAAATGGCCTAGAGCCCAAACAACATCAAATAACATCAAATTCAAATAACAATTTTTATAGGGAAAAAGGTTGATAAACCGCTGGAATTTGGGGGTATGCCGACGACAAGCCCGCTTTGCACATCACCTCCATTTGGTTCAATCACTTCACTGTGCATCCTAATGGTCTGACAACCTTTGTGATCGCAAGTCTCCTATTCATCGGGTTTATGTATCCCAGGACTCTCTGATAGACAGGGTGATCAGCCATTTCCAACCATCTTTGCTGGATAAACATTACCATTTTCTGTGTTTAATCCGGATTCTGATCATTTATGGTGTGCATCACTGTTTTGACGATCCAACACAATTTGTGCCGCTTACATACCCTATTCCAATGGTCACGACCCAACCATCATGCCCAATTATGAGTGGGTAAATATACAGTATGTGTTTTTCTTTATTATACTACATCCCAATTGTTTTTAAACGTGTACCCTCTCAACATCCGTTGTTCCACTTGAAACAAATAGTTTCGACGGTGTATTCTTGCATTCAAATCCAACAATCCACCCCAAGTTCAAAAAAAACATCTTTGAAACTTATCCTCTGGTAAATTAACATAGATCCTGAACACACCCAATGTTTAGTGGAAAGTAGTCTTTCAACCCCTGTCTGCCAGGGTCTATGCTTATTTACTGGAGGGTAAGAAACCAACTATAGCCAACTGTCATCAACTAATCTGGTTGGTGGTTTTAACCATCTTGAAAGATATGAAAGTCAGTTGGGAAGGATGACATCCCATATATTATGGACAATAAAAAATGTTTGAAACCACGAACCAGCAATGCACCAGTTTTCATCATTTTCCATTTCTTTAAAGCCAACGAATCTCGGAAGAGGAACCTCGGGATGGACGATTTTCACCTGGCCCATACCTGGCACCTCGGAAATTCAGGGAAAATCATCCATCAATGGAGCTTCATTGTTGAAACCAAAGTTTTTTTTGAATCTGGTTACACCAATGGTTTCAAAAACTATTACCAATACCAATCAAAAATCACTGGAGTCATGGTTTGAAAAAACAATCTGGGTTATAAGTTATTATCAACCATTATTGTTGTATTTTTTGAAAAATCATTGTTGTAACCATCTGGGTAAATTGTAACAACCCACTAATCTGAAATAAGGCTTCTCTGGGATAATTCCCCTTACTAACCATGATTCCAGTAACGTCGCAGTGAGGTCGTTATAATAATTTACCCAGAACCATGTTTCATCATGATTTATGACACGAGTGTATTTATGAAAAATCATGAACATATATCAAAATCAAATGACCGTTACCAATGCTTTTGATTGATGGGCATGATAATAATGACTGCACACATGGTACCTATTTGTGGCTTATCATACTTTATCCGTTTATGGAAATGTTGATGATGAATGAACATGTACAAATACAATGATTTACCACCATGTTCGCAATGTTTTTTGCCATAACTTTCGGTATTCCTCATGGACTG